AATGCTCCACCCACCTTGAGATATAAGGTCTAAGGTCTCAGTATGGTTACAACGGCTGCCCAACCCTTCGAACCGAAACACATTACTGCTTCATGGCACAAATAGGCAGGACGGTGGTACCTACCCGTGCGGACTCACAAGAGGTCCTACCACCAGTAATTACACAAATTATAATTTTGCGGGTTTGATTTTTATTACACGATGTTATTCCTTCACCGTGGAAGTCAATCGTGAACAATTGTTAAGTACGTATTTCATTAGAAAAATTGGTACCCGCCTGCGAGATTCGAACACCGTTGCATCGCTATATATGAATGCACGTCTTATCCTTTAGGCCACGACGACTCCTCTTCCTCTAAGTTTCCTACGTGGTGTACGACGTAGCAAAATTTTAAACCATGGTCGACGTAACACGATCCAATTATTGGGGAATTGATTTTGACAGAACAAACAGATAAGACCCGTGCGAACTGACAACCGATTAGCAGAACTGAAAATGGTTCGCGAAGTATGTAAATATCACAACGCGAATGCTACCGTCAGCTTTTATTCACAAGGTCGAAATTACAATTGTATTATTCGACCCCTCAAATCGGAAAGCTATGGTGGCACATTTCTATTTTCAGAATTTTTTTTTTTTTTAGACGGTTCAGCGACCTTTCCGCCCACTGGGTTTTACGGGAGTGCATAGACATCAACAAGGTAAAAGAGATCCACCTTCTGACATGAGTTCTAAGTCTCTGTTTATTTTAGTTGCGTACTATTGCTGCCATAATTTTCAAACCGAAACGCATTGCTGCTTGGTGGCAGGTATAGGCGGGATGCTAGTACCTACCCGTGGGAGCTTACAAGACGCTCTCCCCCAATCATTACGTAACATAATAATTTTGGGGGTTTGATTTTTATAATACGATGTCATCCCTTCATCGTGGAAGTCATTGGTGAACATTAGTCAACTTAAGTACTTCATAAAAAAAAAACGCATCAAAAGTCTTATCCTTTACGCCACGACAGCGGCAAAGTCGTTAAGTCAATAAATAAATAAAATATTTACGCGAACTATTCTATTCATTTCTTAATCTCCTTTCTAATACTTCACAGATTTCGTGTTCATGGAACACTGAAAATAAAATTTAATTGTGATTTCCCTGACAATTCGGAAACGAAAGAAGTACGTACCATGAAATTGTTTTTTAATTGTGCCGGGGACTAGAACTTTTACGACCACTAAATTAATGGCGTAGACAAACAAAATAAAACGTTATCTGCATTTTCGCACTTTGGGAATTGTCTAAAAATAATTCCTAACGAATTAATTGTATTATGCGTGTAATTGAAAATTAAAATATTTCAAAAAATATATAACAAAAGCTATGGCCTACGTTGTTCCAAAAAAAAAAAAAGACCTCAATTACATATTCTCTATACATTGAATTAAATCAATAATATCCTAAATGGAATTATAACAAAAACGTTCACATTTAATTATCTGGTTTCGAACGCTATTAGAATACAATAGGCGTTCATTTGGTTTTGGTAGTCAAAGAAATATGAACGCTAAAAACGTTACGTTTTGAATTATTTTCGTTTCCAGAATTTTTTATTCCTTGGTTATACCATTCCAGGGACACAGTACAAATGCGTTATCGCAAGGACAACCTATAAATATATTTTTATGGCTAATTATGTCTAATGTACGCCTTTAGCTACCACGCACGAGTTACCACCGTCGCGTTTATCTATACTGCGAAGTTATCCTGCGTTTCAGTTTGAACCGTAAAATACTGCGAAGCCTTTTTTACTGGTGGTAGGACCTCTTGTGAGTCTGCGCGGGTAGGTACCACCGCCCTGCCTGTTTCTGCCGTGAAGCAGTAATGCGTTTCGGTTTGAAGGGTGGGGCAGCCGTTGTAACTATACTGAGATCTTAGAACTTATATCTCAAGGTGGGTGGCGCATTTACGTTGTAGATGTCCATGGGCTCCAGTAACCACTTAACACCAGGTGGGCTGTGAGCTCGTGCACCCATCTAAGCAATAAAAAGAAATATGCGATCGACTTCGATCTTACGTCCCATGGTCGGACAACGAGTGTATCAAACTTTTTTTAATAGCTAAGGCTCTATAATTGTGCTTAATGGCTCTATCAGAGGTAGGACAACAGTATTGCTACTTTAACTTCGAGACTCGACCTCTGCGTGCTTAGTGCGAGTTTTTTTAATTTTCTCGATAGCGTAAAAGTTAACTTAAATTTGTTTGGAGTTGGAACGTTTGCTTACGTTTGCCGCTAGGGGCGCTGTTCCAACTGCATACAAACTTGAGTTAACTTTTACGCCATCGAGAACGTTAAAAAACTCTCACTAAGCACACTAAAGAGCGAGGGTGTGCAGCAACCAAACCATTCCTTTAGGGTTTTTAACCACATTTTTTGTAGGATACTTTACTTTCCGCCGATTTATATGATTACATTATTATGTACATTTTTTTCCTCTTATGACACGACAAAACTACGACCGTTTTGCACGTTTGACGATGTTCATCTAGATAAAAAAAAATCGGTTGTCTGTAAAGTCCGTTTACTGACGATAGTTGAACGTGACAACGTCATAAGAAAATACTGATGGAATGGTTTCATTTTTTAAAAGAAAATTTTAATTTTATTTGTTTAATAGATATCTTCTATGGACAATTGACACCACATTCACTTTTCACTGAACTTCATACTTGACGAAAACATGTAAATGTATTATTGTATAGCAGCTGTCCACGCGGATGCATCGCTCACTCAAGTAGGAGAGAGACAGATGTCGAACGCTGCAGAACGCGGTGACCGATTGTGCCTCTTTGTCGCTCATTGCGCGCTCTCGCTTGCACTTCAAGCCTTAAATGGAACGCCTCAATGAGTCATGTTTTTTCGTGCGTGCAGCCGGCTTCATCGAATTATAAGACGTTGTCACGTCAAAAAATAGTTAGAGCCGATCACAGTTGTACTACTGCAAACGTCTTAGACTACTACGTTTCGTGCACAAAAAACATAAACAAATGTTTCACCTGTGCCGGAGCCGAGATTGGCAGGTGCTGCGCCGCGCATCTGCCCTTTACGTGTGTTCTTACGAGCGACCACCACATGTCCGGTGCCCGTAACAATGTATCGAAATGTGAACGACCGGCGGCTAAGTACAATAAACTTTGACATGACAACGTTTTTAATATTACGCTTTTATTAGCTTCAGACGTATGTATGTTAGTATGTAACGGAATCTTTGAACATGATTTTGACCCCCCTCGGAAAAAAACCTCGGATTGATTCGAAATTCAGTATACTTATTAAGGACCGATGACAATTCATAATAAAAAAAATATATTGGAAAAAATAAAAATAAAAAAATTGAAATTCAACTAAAAATGAAAAATAAATATTAGTTTAAAAATAACTAAAAAAATACGCTTTTATAGAAATTCCAACCAAAAAATAGAAAATAAATTTTAATAAATTTGAATTAAAAATAGTGTAAGAAAAAATTATTATGTATATTGTAAAAAAAGCGTGGGGTGCATGCTATCAGTAATTATAAATATTTTATGAACAGATATATGAGTAGAAGGGTTATTTTGATAATATCCTGAACAGCATTTTTCTTACACTATTTTTAATTCAAATTTATTAAAATTTATTTTCTATTTTTTAGTTGGATTTTCTATAAAGCGTATTTTTTTAGTTTTTCTAAACTATTATTTAATTTTAAAACGAAACTAGAGCGAACAGTTCTATTTTTTTTATACCCTTGTAGGCAGAAGAGCATACGGCCCACCTGATGGTGTGTGGTTACCGTCGCCCAAGGACTTCAGCAATGCCAGGGAGCCAAGCCGCTGCCTACCATTAAGTACTTTCCACAAGCCTCGTTTGATAAAGGACAAGTCCTCATTCCAAAGCCGGATGGTACGTGGCAAAAAAGATCTCTGGAAACGCACTGTGGATGAACGCAGTGGCTCCAGGTAGTATGGATGTTATAGTATGGAAACTCTACTCCGGTGGCGGGCGGTGCGATGGTAAAAACGAGATGATGGGATCATCTCAAACAATTCTTCTGTGATAATTAGAAAATTATTAATTAAGAAAATCAGTACTGCATAATCGTGTTGTTAATTCGTCTAGTGTACGATACAGCGCCTGATTACTGTACGATAGTATTTGATTTAGGACATTGGAATCGTTCAATGTGGAACGTTTGAAGTAAAAACTACTTTACGAACGTTGTGATTTGAAACTCGATGAAACGAAAAATCGACACTAAAAAGAGACAGACGTCTATATATATGATCTAGTCTGCGGGTAAATGAAGATTTCACTTCTACTGTGTGTAAACTTGTTTCTTTTTCTCTTTGTGCTTTTATTTTCTGGTACAGAAAATCGTGCTTAGTAATGAAAATGGATATTCATCAAAAAAATTCAGCATTAAGAAATGTGTAAAGTGTTCGAGCAAGTATGTAGACGAAAACTCTTCACAGTTCAAAACATTAATCAAATCAAATCAAATCAAATAAAAAAAAAATATTCAACATAAATGAAAGTGCATACTAAACTTGTTGAATGTCAAAAAGAACTACCGCCAATTCACAAAAACTAGCCTCCGTCCTGAGAAGAACTGGCAAGAAACTCAGCGGGCATGTGTTTTTTTTTTAATTTTCTTTTTTTTTATATTAGGTTTTTTTTTAATATTCATTTTTACAATGAGTATTATAACGTAACAATTATTGCAATATTGAAATATATATCGTATAAACTTTACGTACCTGTTCACATTTAAGCCATAATATTATAGTGGAGTCTGGTTTCCGAAGCTGCCCTTCGCACACCTTCTGTTCGTCCAGGATCTCGCTGTGACGACGTCCTGTCTTCAACCAGACTTCTATCGACCTGGNTAAATATTAATTTTTACAATGAGTATTATAACGTAACAATTATTGCAATATTGAAATATATATCGTATAAACTTTACGTACCTGTTCACATTTAAGCCATAATATTATAGTGGAGTCTGGTTTCCGAAGCTGCCCTTCGCACACCTTCTGTTCGTCCAGGATCTCGCTGTGACGACGTCCTGTCTTCAACCAGACTTCTATCGACCTGGATGAATAAAATACATTCCATTAACATTTTCCATAGTCTCTCTGTTTGGCGGAATCGGGTATAGAGTTCGTAAATGTAGACCACAGCCTGTACCAGACGGTTTATTGGTTGTGATGATATCATTGAGAGTTCTGTGTCCTGTATCAAGACAAGGGCATGGTACATTGACATGATTATATTTATCCCGCGCCATCTGGCTCAGGAAACTCCCATCTATGATGATTCCTATGCTATGACATGTCCTTCTTCAAATTTATTTTTGATGGGCAGCGGTTTGGCTTAGCTACTGTGCTTATGGTGTCCACGAGCGAAGGTGATCTTTCACCATCAGCCGCATGTTTGGTTCGATGAAAAATGGAAAGCTTAAAACCCCAGATGTTTATTTACAAACAGTGACTGAATTTTTAATTTAAAAATTGAAAAATGGTATTTATCTATACTAATATTATAAAGAGGAAAGATTTGTTTGTTTGTAATGAATAGATTTCGAAACTACTGAACCGATTTGAAAAATTCTTTCACTGTTTGGAAGCTACACTATTCCCGAGTGGCTATATTTAAAAAAAATATATAGGGATCCTTACTAAAACTCTTAATGTAACCCAAGGGGTAAAAAAATTACCTAAAATATTCTTTACATCGCGTGCCCTGCAAAAACTATTGATGATAGAATAAAATAATGTAGTACCTACGACTTCACATTATTATTTACAAAAAGTGAAGCGATACGTCTCTAGGTCGATCGTGGCATTCACGTTATGATGTCTATGGGCCTACATCTAACACAAGGTGTGGAGGTCATTATTCATCCCTATTAAATTAACCTATTATTTGCGGTTTGAAATTGACAACAAAATTCTTACTACTCATGTTCGGCCACGAAAAGGGAGAAAATAATTTTTGCCTAATACAACTATTATAATGCACAATTTTTATTGTGCAACATTTGACGACACTAAAATTATTTATATCTCTTTGAGTTGCGCGTAATGACAGACTGTCACATCAGATTTAAGTGAAAAAAATAAAATAAAAAAATGAAACTGTCGAAATATTCTCACGGCGTCTGCGTTGAGCGCGATATAAATAGTTATTGTATGTTGTTATGACGGTAATTCTATGGTTACTTAACTCATAGACAAAAACGGAGACGTCCTCGGCGGTCGATTCGTTAAGTTTAGCTCTCTGTTCGTGGTTCGTTTGAGGCGAAACAGTTACTTGCTTGGATTTATAAATTTATTGTGGGCTTGCTTGCTTGGTTTTTTTATTACTTAGATTAGTGGACGAGCTTGAGCGGTTGCCAGTAATCCAAAAAGAGGAACGAATTACACGAAAGTACTGTTAAATCTACAGTAAAGTGTTTAGAAGTACAAATACAAGTACTGAATACAAAGTTAAATATTAAATTGAAAAGTTAAATGATAGATAATTTATAGCCACAATATCTATATATTAATGCGTGAAGCAAAAACTTTGTATCCCTTTTTACGAAAATTGCGCGGACGGAGGAGTATGAAATTTGCCACCCTTATAGATAATATAGAGAAGAAGTGCACAATGATAATATTTTTTTTAAATAATGCATAAAAGATACATTAAATCAATAAAGAAAAGATTACACACACTACATACCATGTATTTGACGCATACTATTTATTGTCAAACTTTTGTTCTTGACGTCTGTGGTCAAATTGAGAATACATTAAATAGACTGAAATTAAATATTATTTGTCTTTGTTAATATTTTTTATAGTGTAGTCTTGGCGAAATTTGTGATTATAGAAGTATAAAATACAATTATAACAGTGTACAAACTTACAATTCCTATTAGTTATAGTCGAATTTCGACTACTGCGGGGCCTCTAGTACATTATTAATATGGAATCAGTACCAAATGTCTTTCTCAAGTTACATTTAAAAAGTGAATTTGACAATGAAGCGTAAGCAGCCTATTTATGAACTCACGGACACATAATTTGGTTAAAGCGACATTTCGCTTAATAAGCGACATTTATCTTTGTTAAAGGTGCATTTTATTTGGTATTACCATTTAACAATTCGATATTTTTAATTGAATTTCTATTAACTTGACTCAAATAGCTGAAGAAGGTTTTTTTTGTAATTATATTTTTTCCAAATTTTAAACTTTGAATGGCTCTCCTGTAAAGTTGAAAAGATATCGTTTAAGCCTTTCATCCCTCGATATATATGATAGACTAGCTGACCCGGCAGACTTCGTAGTGCCTCAATCGATAAAGTATAAAATAAACTTAAAACAAACAAAAGGAATCCGTTCCACGGGGGACACATCAAACTTAAGGAAAAACAAAATTGTTTTTTTTATTTAATTCCGAAAATTTTCATATTTATCTAACCTTTTGAACCCCACAAGTAATTCAAGACCAAAATCAGCCAAATCAGTCCAGCCGTTCTCGAGTTTTAGCGAGACTAACGAACAGCAATTCATTTTTATATATATAGATTAACTAACCGCTCTTAAGCATACCCTATTACAGTTATATTCAAACTTTCAAGTCGACTTGTAAAATTGTATATTCAAACGCAGCACGATGTACGTCCACGAAGCCGGCGGCGGACCTGCAGCCTCATGAAGACATTAACTACGGCCTTCCGCCGTACATAATGGCCACTTAAAAACTCATAAAAGCGAACTCTAAGCCACTCTAGTGCATCGCAAGCGTCCGAGATCAACTCCTTAGATTGGCGTTGGAGAGTAAAAGCGCCGCGTGTTTTATGGCCCACGAGGCTTATCGTACGTGTTTCAGAGACGGTGCTCTTTCGCGTTTCGAAATTTAAATTGTAGTTTTTTATTAGTCCTTATACAGAGCGTGAGGGGATCGGACGAAAGTCAACAGAATCCAATACCAATTATAAACGAAAAATTATTTCGAAGTCGTCGTGGCCTAAAGGATAAGACGTCCGGTGCATTCGTATCTAGCGATGCACCGGTGTTCGAATCCCGCAGGCGGGTACCAATTTTTCTAATGAAATACGTACTTAACAAATGTTCACGATTGACTTCCACGGTGAAGGAATAACATCGTGTTACAAAAATCAAACCCGCAAAATTGTAATTTGCATAATTACTGGTGGTAGGGCCTCTTGTGACTCCGCACGGGTAGGTACCACCTACCCTGCCTATTTTTGCCGCGAAGCAGAAATGCGTTTCGGTTTGAAGGGCGGGGCAGCCGTTGTAATTATACTGAGACCTTAGAACTTATATCTCAAGGTGGGTGGCGCGTTTACATCGTAGATGTCTATGGGCTCCAGTAACCACTTTACACTAGGTAGGCTGTGAGTTCGTCGACTAATCATAGCAAAAAAAAAAAAACAGAATATTCGTTAATTAAATTATGTATAAATAGTTGTTGACTGTCTTGTGAGCGGAGACACATGCGAAGCTGTACGCGCTTTTTTTCCTTCCTTGATAGCCTTGAGAGGCTATTTCAGCTTCACCGTAACATGTTAACATGTATGTGAGCTCACGGGACTCAAACCGGGAGTGTTGCTAACACTGGCCCTAGCAAGAGCAGTGCTTCGCAGAATCTTACCACCGGATCGGAAACGCGACCCACTGAGAAGATCCGGCGAAAAACTCAGTGGGCTAAACGGTACCCACTTAATTTTATATGAGAGTAGAATGTGATGTATGCATACAGGGTGACTCTCAGGTACTTGAACTTCTTGACCCAGGGAATAGGTTGGCCGAAGAGGGTGATCGGGGGTGTGAGATTTATCCTTCTAATGCGGAAGGAAATCCGTGTAGAGTTTCCCTTTTGAAATAGCACCGCGGTGCTTTTCGCTGGGTTGTGTCTATGCGCCATTTTCAGAACCACTGTCCAAGGGTTTTACGGCTGCGCTCTGGAGTTTACTAGCTATTAGGAACATGTTCCTACTCGAGCCTAGTAGACCGTTCAAATTAGGTCAAATTATTAACCTATCCAGACGTTTTTAATAAGAAATAATTGAGATCGAGAGCCCGCGCATTACTTTTGAAGTAGGTTGTACAAAAAAAACTTTGATTTCTTTCAATTACATCACTCGAATTTGACGTTTCTTTTGGTGTTACCAGTTTTGAGAGTAACAATGCTCTGAAACTGTCAAGGATTTTTTTCTTCCAATAATTAATATTAGTTATATTACTTAGTTTAAATTATTTTCAAAAGCACGTAAACTATTTATAGTAAGGTTGGTATTCGCATGACTTTTAAATAAACTCGATTGGCGTTCAGAAGAAATCGCTCAAGAAAGAAAACAAATTAACTATAATACATACATATGCAACAGTTGTCAAACTAAGTTGCCTACAAAACTTGTGCCATAAATGTTCCTTGTTTAAAAAGTTAAATCTCTATCGATAAGGAATCTCGCGGGCCCCCGCTGGGATAACGCGCGGAATACGAACAATTTGAATTTAGAATTAGGTACATATATTTCTTGTCTTTTTTTTAAATTCCGTTTTAAGCCGTTTGTTAAGAATAAGCTTGAAGGAGCTATTACATAATCTAGATATATAAAAATGAATTGCTGTTCGTTAGTCTCGCTAAAACTCGAGAACGGCTGGACCGATTTGGCTAATTTTGGTCTTGAATTATTCGTGGAAATCCAGAGAAGGCTTAAAAGGTAAATAAATATGAAAATGCTCGGAATTAAATGAAAATAACAATTTTATTTTACCTTTGATGTGTCCCCCGTCGGACCGATTCCTTTTGTTTGTTTTAAGTTTATTTTATACAAAATTTTAGGTATTTTATCTATCGATAGAGGCACTACGAAGTCTGCCGGATCAGATAGTGTGGTATATATTTGAACTATAATTATCTATTATCAAAATTGTATTTATCACTAAATATAACGATAACTATGATTTGAGATGTTCGATAAATAACAACAAATGGGAACACAAACAATTAAAGATAATTTTAGAGAAATCGTCAGATAATTCTAATAATTAGTTCCCGATACCATGAACCTAG